CACATAAGAGGCTATCGCGTAGTAGGGCGATCAACCCTATCTTCGTCATCCTCATCCCTGGCCTCTGATACAATGCCGATTCCAAGGAAACTAGCATCACACCTATGCAACTGCCCAACCTCACAGAGCATCTTACTCCTCTATAGCGTCCTCGCTCGATTGTGCCAACCTGTCCCGCCTTGGACCGTCCACGTCCCTATAATCTGGACCAACTGCTGGGTCTGACGGCCACTCTCTCAGTAGCTGGTTCGAGTCAACCGTGATAACCGAGCCTATGCCAATACAACTACAATACAGGGTGGCGACGGCGGCCTACATTCGTGACGATGTGTTTCTGCGCAGAAATACCGCGACTCGCACTCCTGGCATATGGTGAATTTGGGCCCACATACATCACATCTAAGCAGTTGAGTAGATCCTAAACAAGCTCCCATGGCCCCACCTGTATCGGGTAGAGCCTATAATAGGAGTCATCTCGCAGCGGGCGCATCGTACGCCAACCTGAGGGCATATCACCACCACCAGCCTTCGGTTCAGTCCCACGTGCAGAGGACAGCCTCGTAGTAGTGCTAAGTGGACCTTTCGAGCGTGTTGCCGCCTCTTGGACTCCTCCCTGATCTCGTAGTGATGCTGCTGCTGCTCCAGAAGACGAACCATGAGGTCGTCTCCAACCTGAAGGCATAACCCTTCTTCCCAGCTAAGGACCCAGCCCCGACCATGCGGTAATAGTCAACATCTGTCTGAGGCAGTTCAAAGCGACACAATGGACAGCAAGCATTGTTCGTCAACCACAGCTTCACACAGTCCAGATGGAACTCATGGCCGCAACTGAGGACAGCTGAAATCCATCACTCGCTGTGCAGAAGCCCCACGGCAGGTCAGTGAAGGGATCTGGGTCATCATCCTCATCAGCGCATATTGCACAGTAGCGACCGCCCTCCATAGCCAGATCTTCCCGAAGGACTTCATAGTCCGCTGGTGAGATATGGACCTAAACTACCGTACCGTACGGACCATACTTCCCCACTACCCGTTCCCTCTCTAGTGATTCCAACATGGCCGAGCACACTGCCTTGCCGCCCCCTTTGACGCTCCCTGACCTCCTACCAGCATGGACCTGCACTGACACCTTTAGACGAACATGTCCCTCTTACCGCACCGAGGGGATATCATCTCCATCCGAGCCTGGCTCCTCCTCAATGATGTTCGGGGCCATCACAAATCGACCACCTGCATTACTCCAAGACCATAAACGTTAAGACCCTCGCTACAACTACTACTACCACCACTCGCCCCTCGACGTCCATTCCGATGCCCTGGCTGGGCTGTCTGACAACGTGAACCTAGCACGAGACCAGCTATCCCCCCTCGAGTAGATATGATACTACTCGGTGCAGGCATAACTGTGACACTCTCGACCATGAGGGGCCTACTGCCTTGCGGTGAGCCCATGAAGTCCTCAAGGTCATCGTCTTCTTCTTCCTCTTCCTCGTCATCATCATCAACGTAGTCATAGTCCATCGTAGGAGGTATGTCAGTGACCGTAGTCTTGTCCATTCCTCCACAGTATCGGCATACCGCACTGGTTCCTGACATGACCACTAGGCTGTGCACCAACTCACTACGACAGATCACCTCGATGTCCACATGAATGACAGAAATAGGAAAGCATTGGTGGACGAGTCGCCATGCTGGTAACACAACAAGTATACCCACTACTCTTGAGTGGCCCTATTCCTAAGCTACTATCATTCGCTGCTCATAAGGCAGCCACGGAAACAGACGGGATCGTTTTACCATAACGGTGACTCCTGATCGCAGTGTCACCACCATCACCAATTATTCTCGATTCGCGTCCATATCGTGCAGATTCCCAAGATGATCTATTTTATTCAAGGGCGCGCGCTTTTTAACATGCGCTGAATCATTTAACCACCATTGACAACCAAGAACCGAGTGATCGTCATGAAACTGCTGTACATGATGACAGATCATCTACTACGTCGGCAGCAGCAGCAATAATGAAAATAACAGTGAAAATACGGAAACGATGAAAAAGTCTCTGAAACTGTTGGAAAATGTTAGGAGGCGACTTCATCTCCGACCACCACGAAAGCCGCCTCGGAAACTCCCATTGCCACTACCCCTGACCGAGGCAATGCTAATAGCTGCCATGTCATAGAGGGACTGCGGGGGGGTCTAAAACAACATCGATGATGGACAGTACTGGTGATGATCCCTTCGACCTGTTTCACGTCTTCCATGCACTTCACGATATCCTTGGCCATTCTAACCCTATCAGGGGTGTGCGTGTCGTTCGTTATGAAGGTTAGGGAGTTACCCACAGCACCGGCCCTTCCTGTACGACCGATTCGATGGACATAGTCTTCAACGGTCCTGAAGGGTCCAAGCAGTACGCCATGACCAACACCACGAGAGGTCACTTAGGCATGTCGTAGTTGACCACCCATTCAACGTTCTTAATGTCCAACCCACGCTGGGCAACATCAGTCGCGACCAATACGTTACAGCGGCCTACAGCAGTGACAACATCAACGACAGGCCGCAAGAGGCCGTTTACCAGTTTTGAAGTCGTTGAGTATTCTATCCCTTTCACGTTGCTCCTTATCCCCATGGATTGACGCCGCGTTGAAATTGTTGTACCTAGCAACAGAGCCGTCCGCCCCATACCCCAGTGTTAAAAATATGCATATGAATGCCAACTACGGTGTTGACAATTCTGAGAATTTTTTGAGGAAAATTTTTGTTGATTTCCTACCCAAAATCATGTATAAACAAACTTCTATAATCAGTGTGACATTTCCCAAGCTCGACTGAGGAAAGGGCGCATATATTCCAACACTGCTATGCCCTTCACCTCATTTCTCTGGTCAATGCATCCGCACCCTTCTTGGTCTCAGTGAAGACTATGATACGACTACCCTTAGGGTATCTACCAGTGTAATACACCAACCTCCATCACAACAGCCACAGTACGTCTCCTTGAGCCAGTCGAAGAACATCTGCCTCTTGTCCATTTCTGACACCACCTCGACTCGCTGTTTCACATCAGGGTTAGCCTGATCACCATACGGCCATCGAAACCATTCACATCCATACACCTGTTTACCTGCAGCTGAGTGTTGCCAACAGTAAGTCGAATCGGCTCCTCGCGGAAAATCTCTCGCCATAGACTGGACCTGACGACGCTGCTGCTTAGAGCTAGCCAGATGGGCAGGCGACTACCTCCTT